TATTTTATTTTTTTTAGTTCACATATTTTAATAACATTCCTCCTTCCAAAAAAAAAAAAAAATCCCATATGGATTGCTGAAGTGCAAAAGCAAACACACACTTGTTACAATTGTCAAAAAATATATATAGTTTATATCTGAGCACTTTCTGACTCCCTTTACTGAATATGCTTGATTTATTATTTTTCTTCTAGGTTTGATATATTAACTTTTTACCTGCTAGAAAGGCCTTTCATTTAAATGTGGGCTTGCAGAACTGGCTGAAATATTTCTCCCAGATTCAGACACACACAGAAGGACCATTGTCTTCTACCAGTGCCTTGGTATGATGTCATAACCCTGATCTCTCTGAGTAAGAAGCTTTGATTTATAGCTAGGGCTGCTGCCAATGTGTGGTTCTTAAAACTTCATATTAAATTAAATGACATAATGATATGAGTTCAGAGCCTAAGAAGGCATCACCAAACTATTGAAAACCAGTTAGAAATTAATTTGCTTATCAGACTAATTTAGAACAGTGACCTCTGTCATATTTCAATATTCAAAATCAAGGACTGTTTAAAACCACCTGTCAGCTGACCTAATGCATTGTGAAGTAACAGGCATTTAAAATTTCACCGTACCAAACTTGCATTCTCTTTTACCTTTTTAGGCAAGGGCCAGATCCTTCAGCACTCTTAAATGAATAATGTGGCTTCAGAGTGTCATCTTTTGTGTTTACAGTTTCATAAATTCTGGCTTCATTGCTGCAGTTTATTATAGGCAAATATCAGTGTATCACAAATTCAGTCACAGTTCTGCATTTTAGCCAGCTGAAAGTCTACAAGGCTATGTGCTACCTCAGCATCACAGAGCAGTTCTGAGACAGAACGATTGTTGCTGTTTGGTACGGCTCTGCTAGATTTAGGAAGTGACTGTTTCTGCTGAAAGTGCTCACAGGTTCTGAAAAGCTGTAGGGCTCTGCAGTTAATTGCTAGCCCCAGGCCTGCTGTGTGACTAACTAGAAGTGTCTCTTTTAGCTGGCAGGGCTTTTCCAAGTCATTCAAGATTTGAAATATTTGAGCTAGAAGTTAGTTAGACTAAGACTGTTCTCTGTTAAATATTAATCCTGAGAAATTTAGTGGTTCTGTCTATATCACATTTCATCTCCCGCTGTGAAATACTCACTTGTGGAAGTCAGTGATGATGGAAGTGGATGTGTGTTATGGCAGCTAGCTTACCATGCCTCCACGGTGATGTATAACAGGGCTCAAAACCCCTTTTTTGGTCTTGGGTTTGTAAAGACTAGCAGCTCATCAAGCATGAGTCAGTAGATAAATGGTAACACGAGTGCCCAGCTGGCCTGTGAACAGTGCTGTCCACTATGTTGTCTTGTGCAGAGGGTGCCCCTGTGAACTGCCTATGCTTCTCCTGTGCAGAGCCCTGATTTGGACTTCATCCTTGAGGGACCTTTCCAAGACAGGGTATTCTATTATTTTCTTATCTAGGAGAAATTGGTGAAAGTCAGTACTAAGGTTTGTATCTTGTTCTAAATCAGGTGCAGTTGCCCAGCCCAGCTGAGCATCTCAGTCCCCCAGAAATCAGTGCAACAGTGGGTGAGAGTGTGTTAGTTCCTTGTAGCTTCATTACAGTGTTTGAGTAACACCATAGACACTGTGATGGTCAGTGGGTAGCCAGTGAATACAGTTACAGGCTGTTCCTGCATTTGTTTGGAGAGGCGTGCCTTGAAATACCCATAGCTCTTATTTTGGGCTCTCTAAAGTCCTTTGAAAAGTGGAAGAAAACAGTTTCCCTTTCAAAGAAAGAATATAAGGTGATTTACACCAACTTCTGACACAATCAGAATTGATATTTTATTTATATTTATTATTATTGATATTTTCAGAATGACCAGATCAGACACACAGGTAGTTTGAGTTGAGTTTGCAAATACAAACATTGGCAAAGATTTTTGGCCTTTGCTACTCTGTTTGTTGAAGATACACAGGCTGGGGAGAAGCAGGTAATGGGACAGAGCGACATAAATAAACCATTAACTGTTGTAATGTAGTAATTTGTGGTATTGTGTCCTCCACAAGTCAAGTGCTACAGTTATTTATGCAAAATACTAAAGTTGAGATCTTGCCGGAAGGGGGAATATTAATGTCTTACATTTCTTCTGACATGCTCAGCTTTACAGGTCTGATTCCATATAATCTGGATCATTAGTAATGGTTTCTTCTACAGACCTCCCTTCTCCAAACTGGTACCTCATGAAGATGTTTGCTATTTTTTTAAGGCGGTTGACTGGCTGCTATCCCAGTCTGTATGATGCTTGCACTCACTCTGCACAAGGTTAATGGTTATGCAGCTGGCAAAACATAGAAAAGTCAGATAAAAATCCCTTCACCATTTCAGCAGGAATACTTTTTCTATCTTCCAGTGTGATACTTATTCTAATGATGAGATTAGCATACAAACAAAATATATGAAACTGAGCAAGGGCTGACTTTCTTTACTGTGTTGATAAAACACATTAAAAAAGGTAATGAAAACAGTTCAGTTGAACAAGTTCAGGCAGGTCTATGCATAAGTGCAGATAGTATTTGTCCATTTAAAGACAATTTGTTTCCCATTACATGAAATAACTGATGCCCATAAGTATTAGTTCAAAGCAAATCAGCCCTGACCAGCCCTGACCAGTCTCTGCTTTCCCTCTGAATTTGTAGGCTCCAGGAGTGTCTTTGGCTGCTGTCACCACCTCCAAGTGAGTTTTTGGACTAACAGGTGTGGAATAGAGTCCTTGCCACCCATCAGTCCTTCACCTGATGCAGAGCAGGGCTTACTGGTGGTCTCCCATTGGCTGCAGTATGTGTAGCAACACACAAAAAAATTCACAATATTCATGGCCATTAATAAGACCTCCAAATGCACCCCATGGCATTGCTTTTGTAAAGAAAAACTCATACTTAAGTGACAAAAAAGTGCAATAGTGTGCTGCAGAAGAACTACAATGAAAAGTCACCCTGTGATCAGGAACTTGCCTTCTGTAAAGCCTCCAGTCTGCCTGCCACCAGGGCTTATAATCCTTCCCTGGGTTATAACAAGTCAGACAACTCCAGGGTTTATTGGAGTCGTATTGCCAGTGGTTGAGCATGGAATTATTTAGCACAGGTGTTTCTATAACACTGATATATTGGGAAAATTCAGTGTTCAACAACCATTATATTTCCAGCTGTGCTATGGTTAGTGCTAACACAGTGAACCTAATATAAAACATGTGAGAATATTTGCTAGCTCAGGAACTTGTTAAAGGTATTTTCTTACAATATCTGAATTTCTGTGTTTATCTAGGTGCATTTCTTCGGTCTTGCATTTTCCTAAAGGGTGTGATAGTGGTTTTGTAAAGCTGTCACTGAATGTGGAATCTGTTTCTCTCCAGCCAAATGCATTAGTAGCCCTGCTAGCCAGTGTGCAGCACACAAGCTGGTGAAAATAAGCTTATGAGAAATCCAATGACTGTCCGTCACACCTAGCCTATTTGTCTTGAGCAGCACCTGTGTATCTGTTACATATATAGATCTGTTTTTACTGGGGTGCTAGAAATCTTGAAACAAGTGTTGCAAGCATCTACATGTAAAAGAACATAAAAGGAACAAAGTTAACAAGGGGCACGAGGACTGTAAAACAAGGGTAGTGAAGTGCATTCACCACCAACAAAATCCATGAGTGTTAAAAGAGGTTTTATATGTACAGATGGACACGTGTGTTTTAAGGGGCTCAAAAAGACTCATACACAAACATAATAAATGGCTGGAAAATGTGTGGTTTATAAAACACATGCAAATAAAAATACAGTCAGAGACACTCGTGCAACACACATGTATCTGAGCTCAGTTGTAAAAGATGTTTCATTATTAACTTTGTGCCACAATGCATTGGTTATTAGAATATTATGAAAAATATTCTCTAGTGTCACCAGAATTTTTTTTAGAAAGAACATAAATGCCACTATGCATCCATACATGATCGTTGTATGCATTAGAGTTGCATCTGTCTAGAAAAAAATACATCTACAGTCTAACTTGTCTCTATTATTTGTAACTTTCCTGACAGAGAAAGTGGATCAGTTTTGCCTGTGCACTGCATCTGTTGTAGGAGAAGCTTCAAAGACATCTCTCTTTGATTTGAGAAAGTGAGCTAATGTTGAAAAGACAGCTCTTTTGAGAAAGCATCTTTCTTTGATTGGAGAAAGCATCTTTGCATCTGTCATGACTGAGTTGATGCTCACTGACAATCATTTCCATCCACATTCTGGTAGTTTTTAGAGACGTGACAGCTCAATTAGGGCATCATTTGGGACAGTGGGTAGAGCAAGCAGAGGTCTAAAACAGGAATCAGTTTTTCTTGGTAGTCAGAGACTGACTAATATTTGTTAGGAGCTGGCATTAGGAAAAATCAAATACAATTGTGTAAAAGAACTAAACAAATCAGATCCTACTCTTTCAAAAATATCCTCATAATTGAAAACTTCTTGTACGTAGCACTTTGTCATGTATCTTTGTAACTTTATTTTCATTGAACTCTAAAAGCCCCATCTCTATTTTATTATGCTCCAGTTTACCGCGAGTATAGACATTTATCAAATGGGCCATCGGTAGCTGTAGAAATGCAGTAGTCTATCCAAGTTAAAATTCTTGCCTTGATTACTACAAATCCATGGAGCCCTTGGGTCCAAAGCTTCCACTGAAGCACAGCTATTTGCAAATAGATTTTTATAGCACATTAGTGCTGGAGGAGAGTCCAAAGAAAATAGTCCTTTTCAATATTAGAACCAGCTGTGCCTTTCTTGTGCTGATGACTCATTCATTTTTTTTTATAGGGTGGGAGAACTAGGCAAAAGACACACAGAGTCTTATTCACGACGTTGTTTGTTTTGCAAAGGGTATCCTAGCCACAAGCCAACTTGATCATACCAATACGCAAGTCATGTTTATTTAAAACCTTTTTTCTTTTAACAGTTCCAATTATAAAAACAGAACCCACAGATGACTATGAGCCTGCTCAAACCTGTGGACCAATGAACCAAGGCTTAAGCCCTCTCTCTAAACCATACTACAGTCAGCAGATCATGATGCCCCCTGATCCTGGTTCGTGCCTCGTGGCCGGCTTTGCCTCCTGTCAGCAGAGAAACGCTGTGATGTCACCTTCTCCCAGCGCAAGCCCCAAGCTGCACGACCTTTCATCCTCTCCTTACAAGTGCATCCCCAACCCGGGCCACAGTCACCACGGACTTCAGCAGCCCGCTGGAGGTGTCCCCACCATACAGGAAGTGCCAAGGTCTATAGTTGTGCATCCAAGCCCCCCCGAGCAATCATCTCACGTCATGCTGCAGCCGCAGGTGAGTCAACATCTGAGCAGTAGCTGTCCCCTTGGTTATCAACAAACACTCTATCCCAACAGTCCCTCTTCTCCAGTTCCATCTGTTACCCAAGAGCCAACCTATTTGCAGTCCTGCAGTCCAACTCACTCATCCATAATGGGTCAACAGCAGCAGCAACTGCCGAAGGTTCACAGAAATGAGTCTCCAACAACCCAACCACTGTCATTGCCAGAGTTGCATGAGGAAAGTAATCATAATTTGGCCCCTATTCCTGTAACGATCAAGCGAGAACCTGAGGAATTGGACCAGATGTACCTGGATGATGGTAAGTCTTCCACGGCACAGGTTTGCGTTCACCATGTTGCTTTATCAATGAGTTCCCTTAAACTCCCCTTCTTTTGAATCCTCGTGGGAAAAAAGTTCCATTTACAGCCTGGTGGAAAGGTGCAGACTTTGCTTGGATTGTCTTTTTACAGGAAAGGATCCTTTAATTTCATTTGCAGTAATGAAACTGCATTATCTAAGCAATAAATGTTGTTAGTTAGCATAGAGTTCTAGCTGCATGGCCAACAGCTATGTTGTAATAATCTTAACTGTATGTTCTTGGCTTACACCCATGTCAGTGACCTGTGGAGCTGCAGTGAAGACATATTTAACACTGTCCCATTCATAATGCAGTGAAACATCTGATGTGCAAATCTGTTCACTGAAACGAAATGTTAAACTGCTCTACTTCAGTTGAAAAGGTTCAAATTAAAAATGGAGGTGTATCTTTCAGCGTCACTTTTCAGACTGTTTGCATCTGATGTTTAAGACTACATTTTTTCCCATTTTTATTGCGGCCTTGCTACTGCTTTTTCTTTTCTTTTTTTTTTTTTCTTTTTCTAGTTTTGTAAGATTTTGTATGTATAGATATTCTACATGCCGCACTGAAAAGTTGAAATGCTGTGATAAACTTGTAAGACCCTAGTTCCCAAATATTTATTAGTTGGATGTAATAAAAGGGATAATATGGAATTTGGTTATGTGACCTTACTGAACTTTGATTTAGCATTTGCTGCTAAGTATCCCAGTAGTATTCTGGGCCCTTACCTTAATTCAGGATGGGAATTCCCTTCCAATAGCCACAAAACTTCATATAACATACCATGCTTGTTGAAGAAGAAATTCCACTTAAATAGCTGCATTGAAACTAAGTGATGCCAAGGAACATCTGAATGTTATTGTCCTTTAGGGAGAATTTAAGGACAATTCGTTGCACTGTTTTTTTTTTTTTTTTAAAGGACATTTTCTCATTCTGTTTTAAACAGCATGCTACTCACTGAATTAGGATTGCAAATTAATGTTCTGGAGCCTGAGTAGCAGCTCTTTGCTTTTCAACTCTAGGAAATTATTTTTCTTCACAGAAGTGGTTACTGGTTACATGATAGAAAGGTCTAGGGAACTTTCTAATTAGGAGATAAGGTCACTAGTTTTGCACAACACATCTTTTTGACAAGGTTTTCTTCATACAGAGTGCATTTTTATCTCTTACCTATGCTGCAAGGAACATGATTTCAACAAGCTAAATGAGAAATGTACACAAACAAACAAAAAAAAAAAAGCCTTACCAGAGTTTTGGGGTTGAGAAAAAAAAAACAGAATTTATGTATGTAAGGAGGAGAATTTAGATAAATCTAAACCTAGTGTATAGCTGTCTTTTGAAAAGTGCAAGAAAGAGGCAGCCTTCCTGCCTTACCTCTAAAAAATCCAGCAGCCTCTTCTCAGACAGAACCATGAAAGCTGCCTTTGGCTGGTCCCTACTGGAGACATGGGAATGTGTCTCACGGATGAAGGATGAATGAAGCTCCTCATCCATGTCTGCTTTAGGTTTCTTGTGGAGAAACAGAGGAACTTTATTACCATATGGTCTCAGAGAGGGGTTTTAGTATCTTCAGCAATGCTCATCCTCTCTGAGAAAGTGCAAGTGGTTTTGCCTTTAACTTTATCTCTGTTCCATCACTCCCCTCTGGACACGCATGCGTACCAGTCCTCTAACAGATTATCAGAACTAATTGTAGAAGCCACCATGTACACCTACACTGATACCTGAGGCTGACTTTGAGGATCTCTTCAGCTAGCCAACCCAGATATACTTCCCTTTGTCATCCAGCAAGCTTTCAAAATCCTTCTGTGGCTGACCACAAGAACTATAGACCAAGAAAGACATTAACAGTCCTGATAACAGTATATAATAAGAAGAAGCCCAAGCCTTTGTAGTTCAATGAATTAAGTACCACCAGTTCCCTCTAAGGGGGTCAATCAGAAATGGCTAAAATGATATTTAGGTTTGTCTCAGGGATCACACTTTTGGAGCTCAACCCATATGAGCAGCCTTTTCCTATCTAAACCTTATCTCACTGCCTGAAGAAAAGGTCATCTGCTCTATGCATATCTGAAGTTGACTACTACCCTCTTTATATTTGTCTCAGTACCTGAACTAGGGGCTAAAAGCAGGAAATGTTTCTTTTTGGATTTAAGCTGGCCAAGACGCCCTGTTCAAACCATGCAGATCTCTGGCATGCCTCAGACACATAGCACAGGATCATGAAGCTGTGAGTCAGGCTGAAAGCCTGTTTAGGTGTATGCTATATGCATTTCACGAAGGCAGCATTTTCACCACCACTGCAGTTATTGGTTTCACATTACATTTAAACTGATGGAACTGCAGGCTCCTATGGAAAGGGTGGTCTCAATCTGTCTTGCTCTGTAACATGTTCTTGCTGCTTCTTTCAAGTCATATCAATTGATTATGGAGCAGCAGAGCAGGATAAAGGAAAATTAACCTGCCTGAAATAGCAAAATCTGCAGTTTTCTGTTTGGTCAGCTCATGGAACCATGTCCACTAGCTGGATCCAGCCCTCGAGAGCGGGGCAAGAATCCTGGTGCTGTGAGTCAAGGGGTGCTACCGGCTCACTCTGGGTGGCAAAAGCCCACCAACAGGCCAGAGCAAGTGTGAGTTGAAGTCACTTCTGATGTGATCTTATCCTCCCCAGCAACTATCTAAACACTCATCCTGTTTTGGTTAAAAATCCTCTTCACCTGTCAGTTCCGGAAGGGTGACGTCTGGGCTCTGTCACACAGTCTCAAAGGGCAGTTTGACCACTCTGTTACCACTCTGGTAACTGCCTGGAAACCACCAATGATTGCTCCTGGTGTCCCAGGAGGTGCTGCTCACTGAGATCAGCAGGGAACAGGCAAAGCATGTATGCAGAAGTGCCTTTGTGCCTGGTACTGTTTCATTCACACCTCTGACCGTAACAGTGGAACAAGGGACGGTGAGTTTTGGCAAGTGGCTCGTACTAGATAGGAGTAACTCGTTTTCCCATGTACCTGACTTTTTTTTTAAATAGCAGCTTTTTGAAGGTATCACCATTTCACCATTTTTAATTACTAGTATATCCACCTCTAGGTGTTTTTTCTTGTTGAAGGAGTGGGTGGAACAACATGAAAGCCACAGACAGGTCAGGTGTACTTAACTGCTTCCCTTGCCTGCTACTCTGAGTATAACAACTCTTTTCTTCATGTCTGATTAATGAAATATTTTAATGACATTAAAAATTAAATTCTCAAAGCATCACTCATTTCAACAAGTATCTCTTCAGAGGATCTTGTAGTTATTTAATACCTCCACTTTTATCTAAAAATATTTAAGAAATGTGAGGTATTGACATCTAACATACTTAAGGGACTGCCAGAAAAATAAAATATCCAAATGATTTTCCCAGATTTTAACTGATAAAATTTTGGTTGCTTGTTTATCACTTTAGGAAGGTTTGATTTATATATCTAATATATGTAGGGCAGTTTTGGACCACTATAAACAGAAATAATTTTGCTTCAGCTTATTGGTTCAAAGTAATATTCATTCCTTTAGTTCTGGAATATGTCCAAATATAGACCATTTACACTGCAAAGTATAGATGGAAAAAAGCAGTCAATGAATTTATATAAATAGAGATCCTTTATATGACATTTTTCTGCTTTGGTAAAAGGTGGGTAGCTGAAGTAATATAAAGGGAGTGCACAAAGAGAATTCCATTTTGGCAAGTTAGTTCTGGTCTTGGCAATCTTACTTTAAATCAAAATCTACAGTAGCCAACTGGGCTCCTCATTAAATGTGCTGTCCATTTCAGCATGTGAGTATGTGATTCCACATACAGAACATATTTAAAACTCATGCCGTAAAGTGATACCTGATATATTATGGCTATGCTCTTGATACTGAAAGGTATCTGGCTTGGATACCAGCACCCATTTCAAATAATTTTGAGTTCAGCCTCTTAGCAAAGATTATGGCTGACTACCTTCGCTGCTTTCACAGGAAAATTTGATTAAAAGTGGTTGAAATTGTGACATTTATGCATGGTTTTGGTCCTCTGTGAGAGTCCTTGGTCCTTTGCAGGGGGAGAGGGAGTGTCTCCTGTCCTGTGCATCAGGAGCTCCTGCAGATACCTGTAGGTCACTGGGGCACCCTGGTAGTGATGCTGGGACTGATGGTCTCTCCATGTGTGTGTGCCACTCCTGCCCTAGGCAGTGAAGGTTAAGTGATGTTTGCCTTTCAGATCTAACCTGGGAGGCGTATGGGGTGCTAGGGTGCTGAAGCTCATGGAAAGTCATTAGGCAGACAGGCTTGAGGGACCTCTTTAGTACAAGTCCATGCTGCAATTTCCTTTAAGAAAATACATGGGTTTTATAGGTATTGATGTGTCTGCTATACAGCCCTTTGAGACGTGAAGTGGAATTAGTATTGTCCAAAGAGATGGATAGTTTGGGGAAGCTACAAACTGATGAGAATTCTTCCTAGTCCCTTGAACCAGATGTGAAAATTTACCTAATTTATATCTTTGAGATCTTTATCTTTTGAGTGTGCTTGTCTCTGCAGTTATCTAACTAGTACTTCAATCAAAAGCTATGCTAGTCTGCTCTTGAACTAATCCCCTTTTTCAGTTCACTAGGGCAGCTCAGGAAATTTTTAA